ATCATTAGCAGCATCATCATCATAGTCATCATCAGCCGCAGCAGCGTCATCTGCATCATCGGCATCAGCATCATCATCACCATCATCATCAGCCTCACCATAGTCAGCATCATCACCATCAAGCACCAGCATCAGCAGCAGCAGCACCAGCAGCAGCAGCATCAGCATCATCAGCATCCTCATCGTCAGCAGCAGCATCAGCATTAGCATCAGCATCAGCATCAGCATCAGCATCAGCATCAGCAGCATCATCATCAGCAGCATCATCAGCCTCATCATCATCAGCATCATCTGCATCAGCAGCATTGCCATCATCAACAGCAGCATCACCCCCAACATCACCATCATCAACACAATCAGCGGCACCATCATCATCATATCATCATACTCATCATCATACTCAGAATCAACATCATCAGCATCATCATCCGCATTAGCATCCTCATCAGCAGCATCAGCATCACCATGACAATCACCAGCGTCATCATCAACAACAACATCATCATCACAATCATATGCGTCATCAGCATCATCATCAACAACAAGAGCGACATCCTCCTCTTCCTCCTCCTCCTGCTTCTCCTCATCCGGCTCCTCCTCCTACTTCTCCGCCTCCTCCTCCCTCCTCCACCTCCTCCTCCCTCCTCACCACCCTTCTGATCCTCCTCCTCCCCCTCCCCCTCTACCTCCTCCTCCTCCTCCTCCTCCTCCTCCTCCTCCTCTTCGTTCCTCCATCTCATCCACCTCCTTCTCCGCCTCCTCCTCCTCTTCCACCTCCTCCTTCTCCCACTCCTCCTCCTCCCTCCTCCTTCTCTTCCCTCTTCCCTCCTCCCTCCCTCCTCCCTTCTCACTCCTCCCGCCTCCCTCCTCATCCCCCTCATCCCTCTCCTCCCCCTTCCCTTTCCGCTCCCCCATCTCCCCCTCCTCCACCGCCTCCTCCTCCCACTCCGCCTGCTGATCCTCCTCCTCCCTTCTCCTCCTCCTCCCTCCTCCCTCATTCCCCCTTCTCCATCCCCCTCCTCCCTCACCGTCCTCCTCCTCCTCCCTCCTCCTCCTCCTCCTCCTCCTCCTCCTCCTCCTCCCTCCTCCTTCATACCCATCGGGCCAGGGCGGCCTCCGCCTCGCAGCGCTCCCGCGTGCACGCGGCCGCCCAGCGCCAGCGCCACAGGCTCGCCCCCAGGGAGCGCGAGGCCCGGCCCCTGACAGACGACGTCGTCGCCGCCGGCCGCCGCCACCGCCGCCGCCGGCGCTGCCGTCGCTGAAGCCGTCGCCAAAGCCGTCGGCGACGTCGTCGCCACCGTCGCGGTCGGCGTCGCCACTGTCACCGCGGCCGTGAACGTCGCCGCCGCCTATCGTCGGCGCGGGCGTCGACAGTCGTCGTCGGCTCCTCCTCCTCCTCCTCCTCCTCCTCCTCCTCCACCTCCTCATCATCATCATCAGCAGCATCATCAGCAGCATCATCATCATACTCATCATCTTCGTCATCATCAGCATCATCAGCATCATCAGCATCAGCACAATCATCGTCATCATCAGCAGCATCAGCATCAGCATCAGCATGAGCATCAGCATCAGCATCGTCATCATAGCATCATCATCAGCAGCAGCATCTTCATAAGCATCATCATCATAAGCATCATAATCCTCAGCCTCATCATCATCATCGTCATCGTCATCGACATATCATCGTCATCGGATCCTCAGCATCAGCAGCAGCATCATCATCATCACCAACAGCATCAGCATCAGCATCGTCAGCATCATCATCAGCGTCATCAGCATCAGCATCATCAGCATCATCATCATCATCCTGATCCTTATCCTCAGCATCAGCATCGTCATCAGCATCATCACCATCGTCATCATCAGTAGCATCATCATTATCGTCATCATCATCATCAGCAGCAGCAGCACCATATTCATGGTCATCCGCATCATCAGCATCATCACTATCGCCATCATCATCATCATCATCATCATCACCATCATCAGCAATATCAGCATCATCATTACCATCATCGTCAGCATCGTCATCATCAGCATCGGCATCATTATCATCGCCATCATCGTCATAATCCTCATCAGTATCATCATCATCATCCTCCGACGCATTATCATCAGCATCATCCCGCCATCCTCCTCATCATCATCAGCATCAGCATCAGCATAGTCATAATCATCATCAGCAGCAGCATCATCATCAGCAGCATCACCATAATCATCAACCTCATCTCCCTTGGCGACGTCGGCGATACATCGGCGACGTCGGCATGGAAAAAATCCGGCTCCACGTCGGCCCGCATCGCCGGTGCATCGGCGATGCGGCGCGATCCTCCGACAATATCTGTTCTGGCCCCATCTGGGAGGTCCAGAGCCTATCCCCCCTGAGGTGCTTCTGGGGGCATAACTCGGCTCTCTGGCGGCCGTTCGGGGCGATCCGGGCTCCCCCAGAACTCTCTCGGAAAGGCACAGCTGCTGGAGCGCACTCCGAGGCTGGAGAACCACCGAGAGTTTCGAAGACGCCCGAAAACCTGACGAAAACCTCGAAGCTTCGTCCACCCTCGAAACCTCGAAACTCCGTCCCCCCTCGAAGCCTCGAAGACGCCCGAAAACCTCGAGACTTCGTCCCCCCTGACGGCTCTGCCAGCCTCCGCTTCCCGCCCCCCCCCCGCGCGCCGATCGTGCGGGCAGGGGGGGCCTGCCTGCTCGTGGCTCTGGTCTTGCAGCCGGGCTGCTGCGAAAACGTACGATGATTTCTGCAGATGCAGCACCCCCAAACGGCGAGCGAAAAACGCAGTGAATTTCACGTGGATGCTTTCTATATATGAAACCATCTCGCTTTCCGACAAAAAGAGCGCTCGAAATTCACAGCGCCTCGCGCCTTCTGGGATCCTTCCTGTGTCTTCGGGGAAGGCTCAGAAAGCTTCTCGGAAAGCCGGAGGCCTTCGGAGCCTTCTGAGAAGGCCCGCCCCCTCTCGCCGTTCGGAACGATCCGGGCATCCCCAGAACGCCCTCGGCCAGGCGCAGCTGCCAGAAAGCATCCCAAAGCTGGAAGAGCGCCGAGAATCGATGGAAACATCTCGATAAACCTTGAACCTCGAACCCGAATCTCCCGAACTTAACTGCCCCGATACGCAGCACGCACCACGTAGCGTGTTTACACGGAGCTCGACACGTAGACTGAAATATAGGTCTGGCGCGACACGTTCGCCACAACGTGGGCCCACACGTGCCGAGCCCACACGCAGCGTGTTGACGCGGACGTTTTGAACACGGCACATGCTGCGTGCAGGGCAGCTGAGTGACGCCCTGCACCCTGGTCCTTCCCGACCCCAGAACCTCGGACCTCGCATCCCCTTCCTGCTGGCCCGAACCAGTGCCAGGCCACCTCAGGCCCTCAGCCTGCTCCTCTTCCTCCTCCTCCGCCTCCCCCTGCTCCCCCTCCTCTCCTCATCCTCCCCCTGATTCTGACTCCTGATGGCTGGAAGCATCGTCGATCGTAGCCCTCCGTCCTCCCCCTCCTCCTCCTACTTCTCCTCGCCCTCGCGGCGGCGGGCGACGAGCGAGCGCGACGACGACGACAACGACGCCACCGACGACGCCGACGCACCGCCCCCTCGCCCTGCGCATCGAGGCAGCGAAGGCTCTGCGAAGCCGGCACGCCCGAAGCCCTGCCTGTGCAGAACGCCAGCCAGGCGCCCCACGCCCTCGGCCACCTGGCGCCTCTGGGCGGGCGGCGCGCCAGGCGGCGCCGACGGCGCCGACGACGCCGACGCCGACGCCGACGCCGCCGACGCCGACGCCGCCGACGACGACGACGACGACGACGACGACGACGACGACGACGACGACGACTATGCCGACGACGCCGACGACGAGACCGACGACGACGACGACAACGACGACGCCGCCACCGCCGCCGCCGTTGACGACTATGCCGACGACGGCGACGACAACGGCGCCGACGACGACGACGACGCCGACGACGATGGCGACGACGGCGACGTGGCGGCAACATCTGGAGCATCAGCAGGCACGCCGCGGCCACCTTGGGCTTGGTGTGACTGGGATGGCGGGGTTGTGAGCATGTGTCTGCTGTGCGCTCGCCCACCACCCGTATCAAAAGTCACAACCACGTACCATGCTGACCACGCCGCCGCCACTTCAGAAGGGCTGTTGACGAGGACGGCTGGGGTGCAGACATACTGCCCAGTGCGTGCTGTCACGTGCACTGGCGCACCTGCTCTGCGCGCATCGCGCACCTGGCGCGGCTGGAGCAAGTGGCACGCGTGGCGCACGTGGCGCACCAGGCGCGGGCGGCACGCTTGCCCCCCCGAGTTACCTGGCGCACCTGGTGTGCGTGGCGCACCTAGCGAGCGTCGCGCACATGGCGCCGTTATTGGTTCCCGAACAGCTGTCTATCCGATGGCGACCTTTTGCCTATGCTGAGTCCCAGTTGCTACTCTCACGGTGGAAGGGCGGGCGCGAGTGAGCGAGACAAAGTGCGACGCTTCCTTTGGGAACCTGTCCCCAGACCCCCCCCACACCCCCACACCCCGCGAGTGGTCAGGGCATGGCCTCCAAGATGGCACAAGATAGCCCGAATTCGACCCAGATATCCTTCAGCATGCTTGCAACAGGCCACCAAGTGGTCATAAGACGGCTCGAGGCGGGCACTGAGCCCTCTTGCACGGGGCAAAGACCAGCAGCATTAGAGTACCAAAGGCTGCTCCATGATCTTCTCGACTCCGACGGGAGTACCTTCAAAATGTCCCCAGGATGGCTTCAAAAAGAGCCCAGAGCCTCCCATAGTCCCTTGAGAGCGGCACACCGTGAGTGTCCCGAGAGGACTCCCAGAGGCGATCTTCGGGGCTCCCAAACAGGGCGGGGTGGGGCGAATTGATACCACCCTCTGTTCGGCGGTTGGCCTCCATGCAGGATGGCACCACAAATACCTCCAGAGGCGATCAAAAGGGCATCAAGAGAGCCCCGGGAGTGCACAAAAATGTCACCCAAGGAGCCCCAAGATGGCCGAAGAAGGCACGAAAAGGGCATGAAGAGGCCGTCAAGAATTTCCCGTCCCACTCTTGAAGCCCCAAGATGGCCGAAGCAGTCCCGAAAAGGGCTGCCACTCTTGAGGACAAGAAAGGGTGGAGGAGAAGGATCTGTCACTGCGCGGTATTCGCCTCCAGCTGCTGGACCTCTAGGAGAGACACCTTCGGAGAGCCTATGGCATGTTCTCCCAGTGTCTCGCTGCGCAGCACGCGAACACTCAAGCGGCGCTCGAATGCAGCCTGCTGAAAGTGCTCCAGCTGCCCATCAACGCGAGGCCGCGTCAGATCTGTCACGAGGCCCCTGTGCTCGTGTGCCACCAGCACCCGGGGAGGAGCCCGACCGCCGCACTCGGACAGCAGCGCGGCAAGCGCGTCACACAGCATCGCATGCGACCCACGGGAGTACGTGACGTCGGAGCCCAGCACCCAGTCCCACGCACGGCCTCCGCCCAGTCTCGGTGCGGACTCGCCCCACTGGAAGCTCACCACGCGCACATCGGCCGACGCCGGGATGAGGCCAGCTTCCTGGTTGACCGCGACATTGTGCCGAGCCAGACGCTCCAACGATTGAGGCCCGCCGTCGCTCAAGGTGACGTGGGCAGCCCCGAGAGCGGCAGCGAACAGGCCCACCACTCCAGTACCGCTGCCAACCTCGAGCACATTCGACGACTCAACTTGCACCGCATGTTCCCGAAGCCAGCTGCACATGGAGGCGGCGCATGGCCACACACGACTGCCCAGTACGTCTGAACCCTCCACCCCCTCTGCGATCTGCAACCTCCGGCCACTTGGCAGCGCAGGCACGCGAGCAGCACGGGCCTGAACAGCCTGCCAGCTCCGACCTCTCTGAAACCTCTGGTCACCCCGCAACGGCTTCACGACATACGGCAGCTGGCTTGCACGTGACGGCCTGCTTCGAGACACGAAGCTGCGCACGGAGCCCGCCATGCTGCAGACGATGCCAAGCCCAGTCCAAGCTGTTGCACACGTGATGCCTGTGGTTCTCCGCTGATTGGCACATGCATTCCAGGCCATCATCCACGCACTCAGAACCAACGTATGCCATCCGTAAGCTCGAATCAAAGAAAAGATTGGGCCCAGCCTACCACGGACGGAGGACGAGGAGAAGAAGAAGAAGAAGAAGAAGAGGAGTGATCCTTATGCACCCACTTTCTCTTCATCCTCCTCATCTTCCTCCCCCTCCTCCTGCTCCGTCTCCTCCCTCCTCAGGTCCTCCTCCGTCGACTTGCCGCTCATCGCTGCCTCTCACCGTGGGTGCACAGCGTACAAGGTTTCCAGCAGACCCAGGGCATAAACGCACCCACGGCAGAAAAAAATCCATACACAATCAGTCGACCTTTCTCGCGAGCACGAGAAGGCGAGGAAGAGGAGGAGGACGTGGAGGGGGGGCTCGACTCGACGGGGCAGAGCACTGCTCCAGCCAACGCGCATAGAAAAAACACCGAAGGACTCACTGAATGGCTCCCATGGGGGGCCCGCTGGCGACCTTGGAGTAGTATGGCAGCGGCCACGGGCACATATACGTAACCCCAATAATAGTTCGCACTGAGAGTGGCTGTTTAGTAGCACTTTGTGATAATATTGAAAAAAATCGCCGGCCCAACGGGCCAGGGCGTGCTAAGATCTCCGGTAACTGGTTAACAGTATTAACAGTATTTCTAGTTCGCGCGCGCGGGGCGGCCCCTGGGGGTCCCCCGGCGAAAAGTACCCCGACCAACGCCCGGTCGCCGCCCGACCAAGTCTACTCAGAGATGGTTTTCCTTCTGGGTGCGGCCTCTCAGGCTCCCCAGAGCGCGCTCAGAGTGCCCCAAGAGGCCCCCAAGACTGCCCAAGAGGCCCCCGAGACGCCCAAAGAGCGCTCGAAGACGCCGAAGATGACCCCAAGACGGCCCAAAAGGCCCCCAAGACAGCCCAAGAGGCCTCCAAGACGCCCCAAGAGCCTTCCAAGAGGCCTCCGAAGAGAGCCCCAAGAGGCCAAAATCGTTGATTTTCATTGGTTTTTTCGATGTTTTTTGTGTTCTGGCTTTTTCGGCTTCCGGACGCTCCAAGACGGCCCAAGAGGCCCCCAAGACCGCTCCAAGACGGCCCACGAAGCTCCCAAGACGGCGCCGAAACGACCCAAGAGAGCCCTCAAGACGGCCCAAGTGCCGCCCAAGACGGACCAAGAGGCCCCAAGACGGGCCCAAGAGGGACTCAGGAGGGATACCGAGAACTCAAAAATGGAGCCCTCCGTCCCAGAAGGCGCCCAGGAGGTCCCAAAGAGGCCCCAAGAGGCCTCCAAGAGGCCCCAAGATGTCGCCAAGAGGCCCCAGGAGACTCCCAGGAGGCCCAAAAGAAGCCCCAGAAGGCTTCAAACATGTCTCCCAGGCGCCCCCGAACGGCCTCTCAACAGACCCCAAGAGGCCCCCCAAAGAAGCATCTTGACGACGACTCTATTTCGCCCCATCGAGAGACGACCCCCAGGGAACTGCTTCACCATCAAAACTCCCCACGCAACGCGTCCGAACGACACCCGCCCCCAAGAGCGCAACATGGGCAACGAACACACAGACAAAAACCAGCGATGCCATATCACGGGCCGGCGGAATGAGCGAAGCGATTCAATATTGAAAAACATATGGCTTTCTGAAGATTTCGCAAGAGCTCGCGCGTAAGCTTGTTTTGCAAATCAGTGTTGCGAAACCCTGTGTGTTTGTATGTTTGTTGGGCACTCGATTGCGAAATCCTTCCGATACCGAAGGTTTGGGAAGGATTTCGGCAGGCGCGCGTGTGCACTTCGTCTATTTTGTTGCAAGGGATTTGTGGAAACTTCTGGTTTTTGATAAACGAGTGTGCGCACATAGTATGCTTTGCAGAGGATGGCGGGAGGGCCGATACCGGTTCCCCTGGGATAATGTAAATTCATATTTAGGATGGACATATGGTCAGAATCATACATGATTAACATACCCGAAAGATGGGCGGATAACGCCGGGGGGTAGAGTCTATTCTCTGTTTAGAAAAGAGAACATAGTTGGTATACTATATATGCTGTGCAAGAGTTGTGGAGCAATGTATGTTGTACAATCGATGTGGTGCGATTGCTTTTAACAAACGAGTTGACACATCCCGCGCTCTTGCGAGCATCACACCCACCCACCCGCAACTTGGTTTGCAAAACCCATGCGGTGGCGATAGCGATGTATGCTTGGCGTTGGCTGGTGTATCTCCGCGGCCGCGCCAACCCAAGCACGCGCGCAGCGGCCAACTAGCTTGGCGCGGCCGACGCCGATGTGGTGCAATACATGTGGTGCGATGGACGACGTGCTACCTACGATGTGCAATACAAGTTGTGCGATCTTTGTGGCGCAAACTATGCGGTGCGCAACATATGCCGACGACGACTACGACGACACCGACGGCGTCTCCAACGACTTCAACGACGACGACGACGCCGCCGCCGACGACGACGCCGACGACGCCGAAGACGCCGACGACGACGACGACGACGACGACGACGACGACGGTGATAACGCCGACGACGACGACGCCGACGACGACAACAACGATGCCGACGACGACGACGAAGACGAAGACGACGACGACGACGACGTCGCCAACGAAGACGACGACGATAAGGGAGGATGGAGGACGACGACGGCGACAACGACGACAACGACGAGGGAGGAGGGAGGACGGCGACGACGCGAACGACAAAGAAGGAGGGAGGGCGGCGACGCCGACGACGACAACGACGAGGGAGGAGGGAAGACGACGACAACGGCGACGACGACGGCGACGAAATAGGAGGGACGACGACGAGACGCCGACGACGGACGACGACGACGACGAGGGAGGAGGAAGGACGACCACGGCGACAACGACGACGGAAACGACGACGACGCCAAAGAGGACGACGACGACGACGACGAGGAAAGACAGTGGACGATGACGGCGACGACGACGAGGGAGGAGGGACGGCGCCGACGACGACGACGACGCAAGAGCGCGTGCCCACGTTTTTGTTGAAAATACGCGTTGCGAAACCAAATATGTTTGTATCTTGTTTGGACACTCGCTTTTGAAATCCTTCCGAAACCGAGGGTTCTTGAAGGATTTCGGCACGCGCGCATGTCGACGCGCGCGCGTGCACTTCGTCCAATTTCTTGCAAAGGATTCTCGTGACGGCACGCGCGCAAGGGCGTTCGAACGATTTCGACATGCGCGCGCGAAGCCCGTTTGGTAGTAGTTTGTGGAAATATTGAAACAACTAATGGTGTCATTAAGATTTCGCAAGAGCGCGCGCGTAAGCTTTTTTAGCAAATTAGTGTTGCGAAACCGTGTGTTTTGTATGTGTTTGGGAAACTTGATTTTGAAATCCTTCCGAAACCAAGAGGGTGTTTGAAGGATTTCGGCATGCACGCGCGACGACGTGCGCGTGTGCACGTCGTCTCATTTTTTGCAAGGGATTATTGAAAACTTCTGAACGTGGACAAACGAGTGTGCGCGCATGATATTTTTTGCGCAGGATGGCGGGAGGGGGCGATAACGGTTTGGTTGGGCTAATATGAATTCACAAGTAGGATGGGGATTGGGTCAGAATCCGATGCGTTTTGCATCGGTGTCCGGGGGGTATTCGACCCCGAGGGGGGAAGGTGGTAGAACATATTTTTTTGAAAGGAGAATCGATGTGAGGTAGTTGAGTTTAACAAACGAGTTGACACATCCCGCGCTCTTGCAAACATCCCACCCACCCACCCGCAACTTGGTTTGCAAAACCCACGACGATGATGACGACGCCGACGACGACGACAACGACGACATCGACGACGACGACGACGACGACGTCAACGACGCCGACGACGACGATGACGACGACGACGACAACGACGACGACGGCGGCGACGACGACGACGCCGACGTCGGCGACGACGAAGACGACGACGACGCCGACGCCGACGACGACGACGAAGACGACGACGACGTCACCAGCGAAGACGACGACGAGGGAAGAGGGTGGACGACGACGGCGACAACGACGACAACGATGACAACGACGAGGGAGGAGGGAGGACGGCGACGACGCGAACGACGAAGAAGGAGGAAGGACGGCGACGCCGACGACGACAACGACGAGGGAGGAGGGAAGACGCCGACGACGACAACGACGAGGACGACGACGACGACGGCGCGGTAGGAGGGACGACGACGACGAGACGCGACGACGACGACGACGACGACGACGAGGGAGGAGGAGGAAGGACGACCAGGCGACAACGACGACGGAAACGACCACGACGCCAAAGAGGACGACGACGACGAACACGAGGAAAGACAGAGGACGACGTAGGCGACGACGACGACGACGACGACGACGCGGGAGGAGGGAGGACGGCGACGACGACGACGACGACGACGACGCGGGAGGAGGGAGGACGGCGACGACGACGACGACGACGACAACAACGACGACGCAAGAGCGCGCGCGCACGCTTTTGTTGAAAATCCGTGTTGCGAGACCTTGGGTTTTGTATGTTTTTGGACACACGGTTTTGAAATCCTTCCGAAACCGATTGGTTTTGAAAGATTTCGGCATACGCGCGCGACGACGCGCGCGTCAGCACTTCGTCCCATTTTTTGCAGAGGGTTCTCGCGACGGCACACGCGCAAGGGCGTTCGACAGATTTCGACATGCGGCGCGAAGCCCGTTTGGTAGCATTTTGTGAAAATCTTGAAAAAAACACATGGTTATCTTAAGATTTCGCAAGAGCTCGCGCGGAAGCTTGTTTAGCAAATCAGTGTTGCGAAACCCTGTGTTTTTGTATGTGGTTTGGAAACTCGATTGCGAAATCCTTCCGACACCGAAGGTTTTTGAAGGATTTCGGCATGCGCGCGCGGCGACGCGCGCGTGTGCACTTCGTCCCAATTGTTTCGAGGGATTCGCAAAAAAGTGCTCTGTTAGAACAAAAAATGTCACCGCATAGTGTGTTTTTTACAAGGGAACCTCAGGGGGGGGAATACCGGCTGGCCTGGGACATTGTGATTTCATATTTAGGATGGACATGTGGTCAGAATCATATGTGACTTAGATACCCGAAAGGGGGACCGATAACGCCGGGGGGGGGGGGAGATTAGATCCTATTCTGTTTTTAGAGTTTTTAGAAAG